ATTTGAAGGGCGATAGGACCCGGGAGAATCCCGGAATTTGGGGAGAGAAAGGAGCCGGGAGAATCCCGGAATTTGGGGGGCGATAGGACCCGGGAGAATCCCGGAATTTGGGGAGAAAAAGGAGCCGGGAGAATCCCGAAATTTGCGGGATTTGGGGGGGATTCGGGGAGAGAAAGGAGCAGGGAGAATCCCGGAATTTGGGGGGCGATAGGACCCAGGAGAATCCCGGAATTTCGGGGATTTGGGGAGCGATAGGACCCGGGAGAAGCCCAGGAATTTGGGGAGAGAAAGGAGCCGGGAGAAGCCCAGGATTTGGGGAGAATTGGGGAGAAAAAGGAGCCGGGAAAATCCCGGGATTTGGGGGAGAATTGGGAGCGACAGGAGCCGGGAGAATCCCGGGATTTTGGGGGAGAAAGGAGCCGGGAAAATCCCTGAATTTGGGGGGCGATAGGACCCAGGAGAATCCCGGAATTTCGGGGATTTGGGGTGCGATGGGACCCAGGAGAATCCCGGGATTTCGGGGGGAGAAAGGAGCCGAGAGAATCCCGGGATTTGGGGGGGATTTGGGGAGAAAAAGGAGCCGGAAGAATCCCGGGATTTCCGGGAATTTGGGGTGGGAAAGGAGCCGGGAGAATCCCGGGATTTGGGGGGGATTTGGGGGAATTTTGGGGGCGATAGGACCCGGGAGAATCCCGGGATTTGGGGAGAGAAAGGAGCCGGGAGAATCCCGGGATTTGGGGGGGATTTGGAGAAATTTGGAGGGGAAAGGAGCCGGGAGAATCCCGGGATTTCGGGGATTTGGGGGGCGATAGGACCCGGGAGAATGGCGGAATTTCGAGGAGAAAAAGGACCCAGGAAAATCCCGGAATTCTTGGGGATTTGGGGTGCGATAGGACCCGGGAGGATCCCGGAATTTGGGGGATTTTGGGAGCGAAAGGACCCAGGAGAATCCCGGGATTTCGGGGGGAGAAAGGAGCCGGGAGAATCCCGGGATTTCGGGAGGGAAGGAAGCGGGAGAATCCCGAAATTTGGGGGGCGATAGGACCCGTGAGAATCCCGGGATTTCGGGAGAGAAAGGAGCCGGGAAAATCCCGGAATTTTGGGGGGATTTGGGGAATTTGGGGTGCGATAGGACCCGTGAGAATCCCGGGATTTTGGGGGGATTTGGGGAATTTGGGGTGCGACAGGACCCGTGAGAATCCCGGGATTTTGGGGGGATTTGGGGAATTTGGGGTGCGATAGGACCCGTGAGAATCCCGGGATTTTGGGGGGATTTGGGGAATTTGGGGTGCGACAGGACCCGTGAGAATCCCGGGATTTTGGGGGGATTTGGGG